TGTGGATCAGCAGACTCAACATCATTAAAATGTCTGTACTACCCAAACTGATCTACAGATTCAATGCAATATCTATTAAAATCCCATCATCATTCTTCACAGATATAGAAAAATAATTTTACGCTTTGTATGGAACCAAAGAAGACCCCAAATATCAAAAGCAATTCTAGGAAACAAAAACAAAATGGGAGGTATTAATATGCCAGAAATCAAACTATACTACAAAGCTGTAGTAATTAAATCAATCTGGTATTGGCACAGAAATAGGAATATTGACCAGTGGAACAGTTCTGAGAATCCTGATATAAAACCATCCTCATATAGCCATCTAATCTTTGACAAAGCAGACAAAAACATACACTGGGGAAAAGAATCCCTTTTCAATAAATGCTGTTGGGAAAACTGGATAACCACTTGTAGAAGGCTAAAGCAGGACCCACACCTTTCACCTCTCACAAAAATCAACTCATGCTGGATAAAAGATTTAAATCTAAGGTATGAAACTATTAGAATTCTAGAGGAAAATGTTGGAAACACTCTCTTAGACATTGGCCTAGGCAAAGAGTTTATGAAGAAGTCCCCAAAGGCAATCACAGCAGCAACAAAAATAAATAAATGGGACAGGATGAAACTAAAAAGCTTCTGCACAGCCAAAGAAACAGTCATGAAAATAGACAGCCTACAGAATGGGAGAAAATTTTTGCATCCTACACATCTGATAAGGGGCTGATAACTAGAATATACTTAGAACTCATGAAAATCAGCAAGAAAAAATCAAATAACCCTATCAACAAGTGGGCAAAGGACTTGAACAGAAACTTTTCTAAAGAAGACAGAAGAATGGCCAATAAACATATGAAAAAATGCTCAATATCTCTAATCATCAGGGAAATGCTGATATCACTTAACTCCAGTGAGAATGGCCTTTATCAAAATGGCCTTTATCAAAATGGCCTTTATCAAAAAGTCTTTATCAAAATGGCCTTTATCAAAAAGTCTCCAAACAATAAATGCTGGCGTGGATGCGGAGAGAGGGGAACACTCCTACACTGCTGGTGGGACTGCAAAGTAGTTCAACCTCTGTGGAAAGCAATATGGAGATACCTTAAAGCGATACAAGTGAATCTACCATTTGATCCAGCAATCCCATTGCTGGGCATTTACCCAAAAGATCCAATTACACTCTACAAAAAAGACACCTGCACTCGAATGTTTATAGCAGCACCATTCATAATTGCAAGGCTGTGGAAACAGCCCAAGTGCCCATCAATCCAAGAATGGATTAATAAAATGTGGTATATGTATACCATGGAGTACTATTCAGCTCTAAGAAACAATGGTGATATAGCACATCTTATATTTTCCTGGTTAGAGCTGGAACCCATACTACTAAGTGAAGTATCCCAAGAATGGAAAAACAAGCACCACATATACTCACCAGCAAACTGGTATTAACTGAGCAGCACCTAAGTGGACACATAGGTATTACAATAATAGGGTATTAGGCAGGTGGGAGGGGGAGGGGGGCGGGTATATACATACATAATGAGTGAGATGTGCACCATCTGGGGGATGGTCATGCTGGAGACTCAGACTTGTGGGGAGAGGGGGGAAAAGGGCATTTACTGAAACCTTAAAATCTGTACCCCCATAATATGCTGAAATAAATCAATAAATAAATAAAATAAGAAAGCTTGTTCTGAGGAGAACACTAAGGTTGTGGCCAAACCACCATTTGAGATGGAAACTAGTATGGGTATAACTCAGGGCCCTAATCAGCCAACCTAGCAGAAACAATGACAGCTTGGACCAAAGGAGATCAAGCTGGAATGAAATAAAAGAATGCTGTTAGACTGCTTAGATCCTACAGGACTGGACCATAGAGCTATCTGGCTACAAAGGTGCACTATTCTTCATGACAAGGGAAAAAGATGACCCTGAGTATGAGTCAGAGATCATCAGGGTTGACTCTTGGGTTTCAAATGGGGGAGGGGCATAGCCTCAGTTTCAACAGGCAAGACTGGCTTCCTGAAGCCTTGGGGGGTGTGACCCCCCACTTAGCAGAGCCTTGGGGCACAACTCCTGCCTGGCAGGACCACAGCTGGTGGACTACCACTCCAGTAAGTTCTGATGGCAGAGCATTGAACCAAAAAGGATTATTATAGTCTTAAGTAAGATCTAATAGCATTTGCTTTGCTAGCTTTTGGACTTGTGAGGGACTCATCACCCCTTTCTTCTTTCTGATTTCTCCCTTTTGAAATGAAAATGTCCACTGTATGCCTGTCTACCATTGCATTTTAGAAGCACATAACTTACCTGGTTTCACAGGTTCATAGCTGGAGAGTAATTTGGCTTAGGATGAATCATACTTTGGTCTCACCCATATCTGATTTAGTTGATATTTAGATGAGAGTCTAGACTTAGACTTTAGACTTACTGGTGGAATGAGTAAAAGCTTTGGGGGCTGTTGGGATGGAATGAATGTATTTTGCATGTGATAAGGACATAAATGTGGGGGGCCCAGAGGCAGAGTGTTATGGACTGAATATTTGTGTCTCTGCAAAATTAATATGTGATGGTATTTAGAGGTGGGTATATTTGGAAGATAACTAAGTTTGGATGGGGTCATGAGAGTGGGGACACCCATAAAGGGATTAGTGTTCTTATAAGGAAAGAGAGAGAGACCAGAGCTCTCTCTCTCCAATGTGTGATAAAACAGCAAGAAGGTAGCCACCTACAAGCCAGAAAGAAAGCCCTCACTGGGAACCAAATCTGCTGTCAACTTGATCTTGAACTTCCCAGCCTCCAGAACTGTCAAAAATAAATGTCTGTATATTCCTGGATAGAGCTGGAACCCATTCTACTAAGTGAAATATCTCAAGAATGGAAAAACAAGCACCACATGTACTTACCAGCAAATTGATATTAATGGATCAACACCTAAGTAGACATATAGGAGTAACATTTATCGGGTGTCGGGAGGGTGGAAGGGGAGAGGAGGGGATGGGTGTATACAACCATAACGAGTAAGATGGGCAACATTTGGGAGATGGACATGCTTGAAGCTCTTACTCGAAGGGGGAGGGGGGCATGGGCAATATATGTAACCTTAACACTTGTACCCCCATAATACACTAAAAAAAAAAAAAGAAAACAAAAAAAAATGTTTGTTGTTTAAGGACAGCCCTCTCCTCATCTATGGTATTTTGTTACAGCAGCCTCGGCAGACTAAGGAGGCCAGAATGGCCTTGCCTTCCACTGAGGTAAGTCCCTTCTAGGGACTACTTAGTGTTCTGTGTATTTGGAGGTCTTTCTTCCCTGGCTGGTGGGAATACAAACAAATTCTGTCCCTGGAGATTATGCACTGGCTCCCTTTCAGTGTCTCCTCACGGCCCCACCCCTGACATTTATTGTTCCTTCCCATGCATGCACATACCAGTACTGAGCTCGGCACATGGATGGATGCTCTGAAGATTTCCTGAGTTCTCTCTCTGCTCAACTTCCTTTTCTCTTGTACATTTCCCTGAGAAGCTTCCCAACTTTGATCTCACCAGATTATTAACTTTGGTTCCTCAAGTCAAGGAGACCACCAGGCTCTGTGAATTCCTTCTCCTGCACTGTGGGATGCAAACCTACCCCACACAGGAAACTGGCCGTTAACCCCACTCAACTCCTTTCTCTTAGAGTCCTTCTCCTGGGATGCCAATTATCCAATTATGGCAGGCTATTGTTTCATATATTTTCTCCAGCTTTTTAGTTGTCTAAGATGTTAGGGTAAATTTCGTTTCTGTTAATCTACTGCGGCCAGAAGTATAAGTTTACATCCCGTCCTAACGGGAGTGCTGGGGGAAGGTTCTGGCCTCTATGCACTGCAAGAGCCAGACACTGGAAAAGCTGTGAGCACTGTGGGAACCTGGTGCCATACACTCTGCCCACACTGCAAGAGCTGGGCGCTTGGGAAGCCCCCCATGCCACAGGAGCTGGGCGCTGGACAAACTGCACCCTGCAGGAGCCAGGCAAGCACGCCAGCACCAGGAAGCCAAATGCATTCGCCCTGTAGTGTCTCTCCATCACCCCCTACTGACAAAGTTTAACATCATGCTATCTGGAAAGGAAAACTATTTAAGGGATCCATATCCATTTTCACAGAGTAGGCAACAAAAGATGAACTGAGACAAAATGCTATAAATTGATAACCAGCATACATATTTGGGGGATTGCTGCCTTATCGCTATTTGAAAATTATAGGGCCATGTGGTAAGTTTAGATCTATAATATCAATTAAATGTGATTAATGAAAAATTTTAAGCTTGAGTTGTAGGACTGAAATTTATTTAGTTCTAAGAAAAGAACAGTGGCTCCATCCATTCTTAGCAAAGAACAAAATAAAACTTATGCAGTTAAAATAGCAAGATATATTTGTCTCCATTCTTCCTACATGTTTGGTAGAAAAGAAAGAGAGGAAGGAAACGAAAGCTACTGAACTACATCTATGTGCTAAGTGCCCTGCATGTTTATTTGACATTGTGAAGATGTCCCTGTAGACAGTGGTTGCATGACGTTTCACAGGTGAGCAAATAGGGGTGGGGCAATTTGCAAGCACAAGACTCTCCTGGGAGGCTTACTAAGAATGAAAATGACTTGACCAGCCCCACAGTTTCAAATTTAGTACCTTATAGATGAAGCCCAGGAATGTATATTTTAAAGAAATACCCAGGAGATTCTGGTTCACTTGGTCCATGGGCCACATTGTCAGAAACACGATTTCAATACCTTGTTCAAGTTCATGGGGTTCAAGGCAAGCTTCTGACTGAATGGAAGACAATTTGTCTCTAACCACATGCATCCTTCCATCCCTGCTGTGTTTTAGCAGTGAGAATAGGAGAGCAATTATTGGACTTAAACTAGCAAATTTCCGACCCAGCCTAGAACTATGTGTGCAGGGAATAATCAGATGGTGAACGAAGAGCTGTCTGTAAATGAGTCCAGTGCTAACAGGCTGTGTTTCAGCAGCAACATTTTATTGGAACAGCACTGAGTGAGCTGCTTCACTCTTGTGATGGCACCGTTGTTCCTTCTTTTCCTCTCAACTTGTTGATGGCCTCACAGTGTGACCTTAGAGAAATCAGTGAACAATCAATGGGATGTTTTTATCTAAGAAGTTGGTGATAATCAATTATAAATTACATAATTGTCAAACAATGTGACTATTATATAATAAGAATATTAAATCATAATGAACATTTCCAAGACCATCAATGGTCAAAGAAATTTGACATCTTTCAAAGTTAACTATCAAATACTAATCAATAATGCTTGTTTTCTTAAGTGGTTCCAAATGAGATAATTTTAGATGTTTTACAGTTGAGTGATATATCATGCCATGCAATATCTAGGATGAAGGACTAGAACCAAACTGTGTTTTGTGTTGGGAAAACATATCTAATTTTAGAGAATTTGGAGTTCAATGCAATATTAAATAGAATGCATTCCATGTGTGAATGACTCATTTAGTTCTGCCCTTGGCATGCAAAAGGGACATTCAGAGAAGGCTTATTTAAGCTATTGGATAACTTTCTCTTCAAAAATGGAAACAGGCTGGGCACAGTGGCTCACGCCTGCAATCCTAGCACTCTGGGAGGCCAAGGCAGAAGGATTGCTTGAAGTCAGGAGTTTGAGAGTAGCCTAAGCAAGAATGAGACCCCTGTCTCTACTAAAAACAGAAAAATTAGCTGAATGTCGGTGGTATGCACCTGTAGTCCCAGCTACTTGGGAGGCTGAGGCAGGAGGATCGCTTGAGCCCAAGAGTTTGAGGTTGCTGTGAGGTAGGCTGATGCCACAGCACTCTAGCCTAGGCAACGTAATGAGATTCTGTCTCAAAAAAAAAAAAAAAAAAAAAAGGAAATAGTGTCTAAACTAAGGCCAAATTTTGTGTCAATTAAATGAATGGGCCTGTGGATGAAACTTTGTATCAGGATTCTGACATCCCTGGCACATAAAGACGATTTTGTCCCTTTGTTCAATAAAGAACTCTACTAGAAAAGACCATGGTCATTTCATGGGTAGAATAACTCAACTTCATAAAATTCTCCCCAGGTTAATCCATAATGTAAATGTAATTTAAATATTCTTTTAACCAGATAAATCAAATGTAAACATCATGTGAAAAAATATGTAATTAAGAATGGCCAGGAATATTTTTTAAAAAAGAGTGAGAAAGGACAATCTCTACTAGATATCAAAACATAATGTAGAAATACCCAAATTAAAACAATGGGAATTGATGCATAGCTAGTAAAACAAATAAATAAAACAGAAATCCCAGAAAAAATACAGATAGAAATTTAATGGATGATATACATGAAAGTTTAATATAGCAGAAGAAAATAAGAACTATTGAATTAATGGTTTGGGGTCATCTTTATAATTAATATCTGGGAAAAAATTGAATTCCCATTTTACATGTTGTACACACAAACATTTACAGATTGGTTATAATTTATGTCTTAAAAATGGTAATTAAAAGTATTATAAAAGCATAAAGGATTTGGAAAATTTAAATAGGGAAATCCTTTCTAAGAATAAATAAAACCATTAAAGACAATATTGATGAATTTCTTGACAAAACAATTGAATCGCAAAAAAAATTTTTAAAAAGACAAAAGAAAAAAGGCCAATTTCATCCTATAAAACCATAAGACCAACAACCCAATGGAAGAAGGGAAATGATATGAAAGGATCATTCACAGAAAAGGAAATATAAATTATGATTCTCAAACAAAATGATATTCAACCTCATTTGTAATAAGAGAAACAGTAATTAAAATGATAATCGCAATCATTTATTTTACCTACCATGTGAGTAATATATGCTACATTGGCTAGAATATAGAAAAACAAGTTCTTTCATTGCTGGTGAAAATGTAATTTGGTACAACCTTTATGTAGTGCAATTTAGTAATACCTTTGAACATGTACTTGTGCTTGTACATGTAGTTGTACATGTGCTTGTACTCTTTGACCTTGTACACATTTAGGCTCTTATCATTATTAGCATCAGGGAGTAGTGTTCTGTTATGTAAACTACACTTACTAACTAGTTTGCTTCTAAATTTTGCTACTATAAACAGTGCTGTAATATAATCTGCACACTTATCCTATTATTTCTGAAGAACAGATTCCTATAAGTTGTTGAATTACTTGTGTTAGTAGCTTCTCTGGATGAACTAGGAAAACAAAACTGGAAATTGAGAGCCCATTATCCATGCTGTGAGTAAAAAGAGTCTTCTGTCCTTCTCAAATACTTACTTACTTGTGTTCGTAGTTTCTGCACCTGCCTTTAGAAATTCACATATTCACTATGACTTTTTTTTAACCTTGCCTTTATCTCTTTACTGCCACAGCTACCTTTTCCTTTTATATAGCATTTACCTTTGGGAAAAAATAACCACAGGTACTTTGACTTTATTATAATTTTTCTTTTTAAATGGATTTCCATTGTTGTGTCTGATTTTTCTTAGTGAGACAGCAGAGGTCTGCTCAGAGTAGCTTAACGAAACCATCTGTGTGCATCTGTGTGTACGGAAAAGCAGAGACAATTAAAACCTGTTGACAACTTCGGGCAAAGCTGTGGGCCTCATGTTCTGTAATTTATGTGAAAAGCTGAAGAACAATCAGTTCAAGCTGGCTCTTCAAAGAGGCACAGGCTGTAACGTGCTTTTGGCAGTTCAGCGTCTTTGCACTGCAGCAAAGGGCTTTCCGAGTCCAAAGAATTCTGAGATGTGCAACAGGATCTCATGAGCAGGACCCACGAAAGCAAACACACATGTTGCTGCAAAGGGAAGAGGGAAGCTGCTGATGTTTCTCCTAGTTTTCCATCTGACTCCATTCTCTGCTTGACAGACAAGCGTGCTGCACAGTGCTCCATCCTGCTACTTACTGCAATATCAGATTTTATATTAGACGTTGGATGAGCCCATTCTGACCTTTGCCAGAGGACGTGTCGGCAGAGCTGCACAGGCGCTTAAGTGCTTGGGGAGGCAGGGGTGTGTGGGAAGGACTTTGTCTTTCTGCCACTCAGAACTGTGTTTAAATCCTCGCTCTGCCGTTTCCCAGCTGGGGTACCTTGGGCAACTCTCTGTTTCCTACTTTCTAACGTGGAGGAAACAATACCTGGCTTACCTGGGATGGATGTGATGGTTAGAGGTAACGCACGTGACATGGTGTACTTCCCATCTTCTCTTCTTGTCTCTTCATTGTTTCTACATCCTGTTCTGTGGTTCCCATGCCCCTCTTCCACTGCAATTGCTCTGGGCAGGTCACCAGGGCCATCTCAGTTACTAATCACTGTCTCTGTCTCAGGAACATTGGTTGATAAATTTCACTCTCCTCAAACATTCCTTTCCTTGGCTTCCAAGAATCATACTTCAATTGCTTTCTTCTGCCTCACTCTCTGGTGTCTTCCTCTCCCCTATCCTAAAGTTGTTGGTATTGAGTTTCTGTCCAGAATCCTCTTCCTCTGTACATTTTGCTGCATAATCCCATTCGCACTCATAATGTTCATTATCATTTATATATTGGAATGTCCACTACACAATTTAGGTTCAAACAACATACCTCAGTTGATCTCCAGATGGCAATGCTTGGGCACCACATGTTGGTGCCAGAAACCCAGAGGTTGTATCCACTCCCGCTCCTCACTGGCCTAGCCTGGCCTCAACTCCCTTCCCCCTTCTGGGTCCTGGGGCGTCAGAGAGCCAGCAGGTCTCCCGAGGGGAGGAGTTCACTCTAGCCTGGCCCATCCTGGTTTCTATGGACGTGGTGAATACAGAGCCCGGTTTGCTGAGCTGTGTGTGCAGTGTGGACGGTGGGCCACATCGTCATCTCCACAGTGACCACTAGCAGTTAGGTGGAGTCTTGGCCCTGAGAGTAGTGATTCTTTTAGAGAGAGTTTCCAACTTCTCATGGTTCCTCTCAAGGAAGGGACTCCCATCCAAATCGGGAAAAGCCTTCAGGATTAAAAATCCTTCCCCCAGGTACTTCCTCGGGGCCCCAGAGTCAAAGCAGTATGAAAAGATCTGGTGTTAGCCATGGAATGTCACGATGTCACAGTGGACACTGGTGCCGTTGATGACTCAAGGCCTCGCAGAGAGGCAGAACATTTGAGTCTTCCCTTGAGAGGAAACAAGGCTATTCGGAAATGTGGGGCAACTTCAGCAGAAGATGGGGATGTGTTGCCAGTGTGGGGACTCCCAGCCGGTCCAGGGTGGTGCCACTGTACTATGGTGCTGATGGGAGGTCTTTTTCAGCGATCTTGGAGTGAAGCCCGTCCCATGCGTTAATGTCCCAGAAAGAGAGAGTATCGTCCTTCTGTCCCAATCCTTAAGTGTCCAGGATGTTACAGACTGGTTCGTGTACTTGGCCACTTTCTAGGCAGGTTCCATGAAAGTCGGGTTGGGAGAGGTTCCAGGTTCACAGTCTCCTTTGTGTTCATCATGTATGCCATTTGGCAGGAACTTCCAGCTTTCCACTTCCCGGGCACATGGCGTTATTGCAGCCCCCAGCCCTCTGCTGGCTGGGCGGGGCTATGCGACTGGTTCTGATCAATGACTTGCCGGCAGGTATGATACAGGTCACTTCCAGGCAAGAGCGTGCCGTTGCTGGGCCTGGGTCCTCCAAAGCTCTCTCTTCCCTCAGTGACAAGGTTGGAAATGGTGAGCAAGCCCTCTGCTGACCCATGATGGGATGTAACAAGAGTGAGAAATAGAACCTTTGCTGTCATAAGCCACTGGCATTGTTCAGACTATTTGTTACCTGGCTTATCCTGACTGATAACACTTTTTCTCATCCATGCACCTATTCTCTTGAATGGCATAGGAAGCTTTTGTCTTTTTATTTATTTATTTTTTGATTTCAGCATATTACGGGGTACAAATATTGGGTTACATATATTGTCTTTGCCCCACCCGAGTCACAGCTTCAAGCCTGTCCATCCCCCAGACAGTGCGCACCGCACCCCATAGGCAGATTTTAAAAGATATTCATAACACAAAGACTTATTATACCCCTCTAAGTCCCCCGTGAGTCTTCAGTGAGGCCCACATTTATCTAATTAAGAGGGTAACCAAGCAAGATACTCTTCACTGAGCAGGGAAGATCTGCTTTCAGATAATTTTCTGTATGTCCCAGGACCATGAAGCTATTGGCAGCTTTTCTCAATAAGGAAAAGAAATGTCTCTGGTAGGAGCCCCTGTTAGGGCATGTCTACCTTGTCTCCATTCCAAATCCCTCTAGGCCCTCAGGCTTCAGACACAGCTTTAACTGCCTATTAGGTATCTTCCCTTGGATGTCACATCTGCATCTCAAACTCAACATGTACAATGTCAAAGTCATTGCCTTCACCCCAATGGGCCTCTTTTACTGTGTTCTCCACCTTCATGAATGTTCTCATTGTCCATTCAGTGGAATCACCTTCGGCCACTTTGTCTTCCTCTTCCCTTCACGCTAAATCTTTTGCCCAGATTTATGGCTTCTGCCTTCTTCTGGTCCCACAACTCTATTCTGTACCGGCCATCACTGTTGCTTTCCTAAATCAATGTCAGCTTTCTAATGGGTCTTCCCACCCCCAATCCTTCCTCTTTTCTATCCATGCTTCACCTTGCAGCCAGAGTGATATTTCTACAAGGAGATCTGATCATAATATTCCCTGTTGGAAGCACTTTAATAGTTGCCAACCTTTTAAAATGTTGTCTGCAAATCCCTGATTCGGCTCCTGCTTCTTTCTTGGGCTACTCTGACTCATGTTCTCAGGTCAGCCTCACGGAACATAACTGAAAGTTGCGTACTTAAAACACAAATCTCTTGCTCTCGTTCCTCCAGCTGCAACACCCTGCACCTCTCTTTTCAGTGAATAATCCTACCCATTTCTTTGTCCTTAGCTGGCACTCACTTGCTTTGGGAAGCCGCCTTTGACCCACCCAGGCAAGAGTAGGCGACCTCTTGTGGGCTCCTCTCACAGCCAATTCTAGTGTCTGTTGCTGTATAATTCTGCCACAATCGCCTGTTCCTGCTCATTGCTTCTCACTGAACTACTATGTGCTAAGTGTTTACAAACATATGGCATTTAATCTTCACAACAATGCCCTGAGATAAATGATATTCCGATTTCAGAATGAGGACACCAAGGAACGGAGATGTAAGGAAAGTATTTAAAGTCAATAACTAGTTAATGGTAACGTGGGACTGAACCCATGAGTCTGCATGCAAGCTCTTGGGCTTCAGCCCCACACAGCCGCAGGGTGTGCAGAGATGGCCTACCCTGTTCATCGCTGCATTCCCAGTGCGCCAGTACATGGGCCGGCACATAACAGGGGCTCTATGAATGTATTGAATAAATGAATACAAGAAAGAAAAATGAAAAGCTGCCTGGCAAACGGTAGGCACATAGAAAGACTAACTTTTATATCTTTTTACAAACTTTATGAGCAACAAAGCAGAAAAAAGGGAAGAAAATCAGTATCAGTTCATTTTCTAGACAGAATATAGGAAATATGTCAGAGAAGCATAGGGAAGCAGGAAGTAGTATCTGCAATTGCTTTAGAAAGAGGAGGCAGTTCTGTGGAGCTACACTTGCTGAGCTCAAGGACTTTTAAAAAAATGTTAAACATTTTTAATGATTATGGGTACATAATAGTTGTATATATTTATAGGAGGCATGTGACATTTTGATAGAGGCATACAATGTGAATTAATCAAATCAGGGTAATTGGGGTATCCATCACCTCAAGCATTTATTCTTTCTTTGTGTTAGCAACATTCTAATTTCACTAACTTATTGTTGGTTATAGTCACTTTGTTGTGTTATCAAATAGTGTTCATTCTATCTAACTACCTAACTATATTTTTGCACCCATTAACCACCCCCACTTTATCCTTCCTTCCTTACTACCCTTTCCAGCCTCTGGTAACCACTTTCTACTCTCCGTCTCCATGAGATCAATTGTTTTTAATATTTAGCTCCCACGTGTGAGTGAGAAAATGTGAGAGTTGTCTTTCTGTGCTTGGCTTATTTCTCTCTCTTTCTCTCTCTCTCTCTCTCTCTCTCTCTCTCTCTCTCTCTCTCTCTCTCTCTCTCTCTTGAGACAAAGTCTCACTCTGTTGCCTGGGCTAGAGTGCCTTATTGTCAACCTAGCTCACAGCAACCTCAAATTCCTGGGCTCAAGTGCTGCCTCAGCCTCCCAAGTATCTGGGACTACAGGTACGTGAGCCACCACACCTGGCTATTTTTTTCTGTTTTTAGTAGAGACCAGGTCTCATTTTTGCTCAGGCTGATCTTGAACTCCTGACCTCAAGAGATCCTCCTGCCTCGGCCTCCCAGAGTGCTAGGATTATAGGGATGAGCCATTGTGTTCAGCCTGTGCTTGGCTTACTTAACATAATGTTCTTCAGTTCCATCCATGCTGTTGCAAATGACAGGATTTTACTCTTTTCTGTGGCTATGTAATATTCCATTGTGTATATATTCCATAATTTATTTATTCATTCATTTGTTTATGGACATTTAGGTTGATTCCAAATCTTGGCTATTGTGAATAGTGCTGCAATAAACAGATAGGTGCAGATATCTTTTCAATATACTGATTTTCCCTCCTTTGGATATACACCTAGCAGTGGGATTACTGGGTCATATGGTAGTTCTATTTTTAGTTTTTTGAGGATCCTCCATAACATTCTCCATCGTGGTTGCAGCAATTTACATTCCCACCAACAGTGTACAGGGGCCCTTTCTCCACATCCTCACCAGTATTCATAGTTGCCTGTCTTTTTGATAAAAGCCATTTTAACTGTGGTGAGATGACATCTAATTATAGTTTTGATTTGCATTTCTCTAATGACTAATGATGTTGAGCATTTTTTCATACACCTGTTGGCCATTTATACATCTTCTTTTGTGAAATATCTATTCAGACCCTTTGCCCATTTTTAAATCAGATTGTTGGATTTTTTCCTATTGAGTGGTTGGAGTTCTTCATACCTTATAGTTATTAATCCCTTGTCAGATGTGTAGTTGCAAATATTTTCTCCCATTTTGGGGATGTCTCTTCACTTTGTTGATTTTGTCCTTTGCTGTACAGAAGCTTTTTAGCTTGCTTGATGTGGTTCTTATTTGTCCAATTTTGTTTGGTTGCCTGTGCTTTAGGGGTATTACTCAAGGAGTCCTTGACAAGACCAATGTCCTGAAGCATTTCCTCAATGTTTTATTTTAGTTGTTTTATAGTTTCAGATCTTATATTTAAGTCTTTAATCTATTTTGATGTAGTTTTTATATGTGGTGAGAGATAAGGGTCTAGTTTCATTCTTCTGCATATGGATATACGGTTTTCCCAGCACCATTTACTAGAGACACTGTCCTTTCCCCACTGTATGTTCTTGGAAGCTTTCTTGAAGATAAGTTCACTATAGGTGTGTAGATTTATTCCTGGGTTTTCTCTGTTCTGTTCCATTGGCTTATATGTCTGTTTTGATACCAATATCATGCTGTTTGGGTTACTACAGCTTATTTTTGGCAGTTCAGGTTCTCATTCTACCTTAGTAAACTCCTGCATCACAAAAGAACCTTCTTCCCAGCTTCAGCACTGTTTCCTAGCAAGCTGTACATTCACGTTTATTTCCCTCAAGATATCAGACTATAAAAAATAGTTTCTCCCTTGAAATAGAAGAAAATCCCTGCTAATGGGAAAAGAAAGTGTTTTCAGCAAGTTCAATATCAACTAACATTTGGCTATTTGACTGTGTAAATAGCAATATAAAAATACTTTTTTGGTTTTTAGTAGGAATTTATGTGTGGCAGGTGAGGCTGGTAGGGTTTTTGATACTTTTGGGTCCCGATCACAGATAAAATGTTTTAGGGTAAATTTAAAGATTAATTAAAAACTTGGTAGGGCATGGTAGCTCATGCCTGTAATCTCAGCCCTTAAAGAAATTGAGTCAGGAGGATTGTTTGAGGCCAGGAGTTTGAGACCAACCTGGGCAACACAGCAAGATCCCATCTCTCTTTTTTTCTCTCTATCTCTCAAAAAAATAAAAAAGATCCGTGAAAGTAAAACATGCATACATCAAATAAAATAGTAAGCAGGACTTAGACTAAAAACTTCTAGTCTTTTACACTCCCCTCCTCACTCCTAATCCCACTATGCAACCACTTTTACCTGTTTCTCCTTTTATTTTTTCTGGTGGACAAATATCATGTCCACCAGAAAAAACTCAAGTTTTTGAGAAATTGATAACTTGATTGCTTGAGGGCATTTTCCAGGTTTCTGATGTCCACTGTCTTTTGAATACCCTTTCTATATTCATAGAGTTTCCTATATGGTGCTATGGGTCACACCTCCCAAGGTTAAAGCCAAGACTCACTGTCCAGACTCCTCTGCTGGAAGGCAGCAGGCTGTGATTTAGACTCTGCTAACCAGCAATACCCACACTGGGCTGTGACTTAGGAGGGAGCAGAGGAGGGAGTCCTACGTAGGGAATCCACTGTCTTTTGTGAGTGTGGTCGTGGTGCTTTGACTACTACTTGGAGACTGCTTGCTCAGGGGTAGAACTGCCATCCAGGCCTGGGTGTCCTCAGAGGGGCTGTGTGGTCTGCACCAGCCGCTGGGGTGGTGATGGAGGGGTTTCCCGAGAGCAGCCTGTATACAGCCACTCACTGCAGAGCCATCCAAGGAGCTGAAACATGCTTTTCCTTCGCTATGGGTCAAATGCCACCACTCCTGTACCCTCTTTGACAGTGTAGTTGGGTTCGGCATTCTGTGAAACTGTGTAGCCATTTCCATAAGCCTCTACAGGATTCTGTGAGCTACCCAGTACAATAGAGGAAATATATTTTCTGTTTAATGTAGCCATGCTGAGTTCCACTGTTTGCAATAAAGAATTTTAACTGATCCATTTGATCAAGATCTATTGACCACTGTTATGAGAGATGAGGATTATTTATAAACGCCCTGCCTCCTGGTTTCCCTCCAATTTTTTGATGACTGTATCTTTAATTCTTCTATTGGTTACCTTTGCAAAATAAATATTAGTAACAAGCCTACACTTGTTATTCCCTAGACTTCATCTCTTCACTCAGCACTTAGAAGATCTTAACTTCTACTCTTCCCTCCATCACTCATCACTTCATTTCCCACCTTCTGTCGGCTGTGGCTGTGCTCTTACACTGTCAAAGTTGATAACATTTCTCTTCTATTCTATGATCATAATTAAATCTCCTGTGCTTTATCTCTCGGTGGATTCTAAATCTGGAAAACTAATAAGCGGCATTGACATTATTAAGACTATATAAATGTTGACTGCAGCCCTGAGTAAGGAGCTAATGATTACGTTTCCTGCTCTGTGGGTCTTGGGGCTTGACTCCAGAGCCACTTGAAGCAGAATGTTCCTAGCTTCAAGGTCACATGGATTTTCTGTTCCTACATTTTAGCAGTCACCCCAAATCTAGTCATATTTTTATTCCTTTCATTTTTGCACCTTGATTGCTTTTCAATATTTATCAGGTGCTTCTAATTGGAATTCTTTTTTCTTATTTTCAAAACAATCTTGAGTCTTCACCATAACCTCATAGGTGTCCAGCCTTTCAGTAATGCTAAGTGCTGTATGGGATCCCTTTATCTTCTCCTGGTTCCCTGCAGTAAGGTCCCTCCTGGGGGGCTCTAATCCAGACCCGTTCTTGTCCAGACCTGCTGCACAACCATCATCCTTGGGATTCTCTTTAGTGACATTCTGGATTAAAGGATAGCCCTGGATTCCATGATATATTTTTAGTCTTCTCCTTAGGTTTACTGGTATATATATGTTCAGAAGACTTTCTCAGACAAGAAGTATGGCATATAAATTAAATCTTCACCTGTCTGAAAATATTTTTATTTTGCTCTCATACAGCAACGATAGCTTGACTGGGCATAGAATTTTAGGTTCAAAGATTTTTCCCTTAGAACTTTGGACACATTGATTCATTATCTTCTGACTAATGTGGCTAAGACAAGTTGGAGGGTTCTCTGCACTTTCCTTTGGAAGCTTTTATGTTTTTTGTTTTACTTTGTTTTGTTCTGTTTTTTTATCTTAGGTGGTCTGAGATTTCAGGAGGACATGCTGGCTGAGTAGTCATTGTCATTCATCCTGCTCAGTATTCAACAGACTCATCAAATGTGAAGAAATATCCTATTAAATTCTCCCATCCACTTTCTTTGTTCTCTTTTCTGCAGTTTCTCTTAGCCAACTGGTGGGGTTCTGCAACTCTTGTATTAGTCCTTTATTAATCTCACCTTTATCCTTCAAATTTGCCACCTCTGCCATTTGCCTTCAGGTCGAGGAGTGTCTTTTGGCTTTATGTGTCAGCTCTTCTTTTGAATTTCATATTTTAGAGATTACACTTTTAATTTATAAGAAGTCTTGTGTTCTTTGGTAGTTTCTTTTAAAATCATACTATTCTTGTTTTATGAATATAATCTTCTCAAATCTCTTTAAAGATATTTTAAAACTTTTTAAAAATCTCTTCTAGTTCTTGAACTATTTCTGTTCCTTTGAGACTTTGTATGTTTTGGTCTTTTTTATTTCCTGCTGGTGGCTGTCTTTAAATGTCTGGTAACCTTGTTTGTACATTCACATTGATGAATAAAGGATTCAGGTTTCATAATAACGGGTATCTAGTGTAGGTTTCTTTTGAATTTGAGTTGATGACACGTTTCTTGATAAATACCTCCCTGAATGGCTAGGCAGACAAGGAACTGTGTGCCAATGCACGGGTCTAGCTAACTGACGGATTTCACTTTAGGATGTACACGTGGGGGAACCAGCCTTAAATTAGACATTCTGCTTCATCTCCTCCCACCAAACGCCAGAATAAGGGGAGCTTTCCTCTTAGCTCGACACCCACACTCAAACACAAATTCCTCTCCAGCCAGTTCATTCATTTGCTTTAAATCAGTCTCTTGCTATTCTCCCTCCCTTTTCGGGAGACAAAAGCCTGCGCCCTCTACTCTGTGTGGGAGGGGAGCCGCTGACCCCACACCCACGTGCTCACTGGCACTCTGGGAGGTTGAACGGCAGCCGCTTCCCCGGAAGTTCTCCTCGCACCGCATTTGGTCTTTGGTTCCCTCTTCTCTGTTTCATCCATAGCATGTTTCCATCCGCTCCTGTATTCAAGAAATGTGCTGAAGTCTGTCACCTATGAAAGTCCTTCCCTCCCAATTTCTTCGTTTCTATGTATTTACTTCTTTTTGCACTCCAACACTGTCACGGTGGCGGGATCTCCGGCAAGGGGGTGGCAAACTCCTGTGCCCTTCTACTGTCTTGCACCAGACACGCGCCCACCTCCAGGGTGCTGTTTCTAAAAATGGGCTTTTTTTGTTGTTGAAAATCCACTTATCTCTTATCTATGTTTCTACTGTTTAACGTGGTATTTCTGGGGATAAGAATAGGCTCTTGTTGAGAAAGAAAGAAAGAAACAAAGAGAGAAAGAAAGATTTAAATGGATGCAAACAAATGAAATAAATTTAGATAATAACAAGCCGTATAAACTCTCTCTTAAATATTTGTTATAAAAAGTTAAAAACAACCTGTATTATTAATCCTTTTGAAAGACTAGTTTAATGCACCATCTTACCATGTGCTACCCATATTAAGCAAACAGCTTCCAAGAGAAACCGGGTACTTTCTATGCGGGACACAGCATTCAGGCCGGCAGGGCTCCGGGCACACGGGGCCACCTGCCCCAGGCGTCTGTGGGAGACTCGGACAGCGTGGTCCCACTCGGGCTGGTGAGGGCACATCAAGGGTCTACGTGCTGGAGACTGTGGAACACAGACACTGCAAGTATAAGACTCAGTTATTAAAAATTACCTTCTACTTCACTCATTTCTTTTCCATGAACCTACTTCTGACCCTAAAACTCTATTCTCATGAGTTTTAATAGCAGAAAATTTAACCTCAGTTGATCCTGCAGTCTTTATTCTTATTAGAGCTCCAAAAACTCAGGGAGTCCAAGATGTGGAGAGAAGCCAGTTTACCCATATTAGAATTGCTGACATCTTCACTGACTTCAGAGTCCAACAGATCTTTGCTGTGGCTCTTGGCCAGAGAGGAGATTCAGGGCTTTGGTTGCCACTTCTTTTTGAGGTCTAGTCACCTCTTGGAGGCCCTGCGTTGGGGTGCGTCAGTCTGCCCTTCTTGAGAAACCTATGGACCCTTCACCTCTCTCTAAAACACTCTCTCTGTTGAGGCACTTGGATGTAATACCCTTAATTGGTTGAAGGTCTGAGAAATACCAAAGCTAAACCAATAGACCATTTCTACCTTCTTGCCTTTCTTGAGGCAATGAATCTAGAAGAGACTCTCAGCTTGAATAGGAGCGGGGGCATTGAGTGGGAGTAGGAGAAAAAAGGGAAGAAAAGAAATGCCAGAAGGGACAAAAAAACAGTTAATGTTTCAAAAATGCTATCATGCCATAGTAAGTACATTCAACCATAAAGGTACACGCAGTGGGCCACAGGGGGAATACAAAATGGCATCCCGCCCAGAGGGAGTTCAGTGGGTTAAGGGAGAGCAGGAACAGGAGGGGGGACAGGGAAGATTTTTCTGGAGACAATTGTCACAGAATTTATAACAGAACCTCCTGGAGAGTTTGTAGGAGATGAGCACAGCCTCCTGCAGTGGTGGACGGCCACTGGCCACGCCGCCCTCCCTGAGCTTTGCCAGGTCTGCTGCCAAAGCCTGTTGCGCTGCCTCCGGGGGGCTCCTCCGCCCGCCACCCTGGTGTTCCTGGAGGCTGTGTGAACTTGACGAAACGGTTCCCCGTGTGGAAATTTGTCTAATCTTTATAGGGAGCAGGACAAAATCCTCTGAAAAGTTTATGGCTATAAAAAATCAGTACCCAGTGACTTAACGTGTAGCATTTACAACATGGCGACAGAACAGCCCCCGGCTGCTGCGGGCTGATTTCTTACAGTTCTCCAAGGAGCCCGACACTCCAGGAGGAGACCAGCGTGGTCCCTTTTGGACCCAGCTATGACATCTATCCACTTCGAAGCCATAAAGATTCATTTTGCTCAAGGAAAAAGTACTGAAGAGGATTATGAGCATTTAATCGAGCTGATACTCAAACCACACACGTGGACCTGTTGGGCTACGTAACTGGCTAAGCGTTTCTGGGTGTGGCATGGGTCCTTTAGCAACCACAGTACCAATGAGACACAATGTATTGGGGGCCTGCTGGGTCCCCTAAGAACTGGAAAGTCATCTGGCCGCTTTTCTGTCAGGCTATTTGTAGCCTTTTTCTGCACAGACTGTCTCCTCAGCCTGCTCCTAGCTCAATGGGGCCACCAGCCTCAGGTCTACGTGACTTGGTCTTGGCTCTCGCTAGGAATGGGCCCCATCTCTCATATACCAAATTCAATTTCCTGTGAGAGAATCTGATTACCGAAGACTGAGTCATGTCAAATTAAAGGGTGAGCAGTCACGCATTGACCTAGTTCAAAAATAAATCAAGGGCTATTATTCGTCATGGGTTCATTTAATTTCCATTTTAACTTCTCGCAAAGACAACAGTCACTGAGTGATTTTATCACCTAGTGGAGAAAGGCATTCTGGGGCCTCAGGGATCATCAACATGAATGTGTTTTCTGTCAAGTCTAGTAGTTACTGACTTCTATATGCTAAGATATGTCGATAAACACAATGCATTTTCTCTGCAATATTTGAACTGATTACCATTTTTGCATTTCAGCACAAGAGCTGTTCTTAGCCAGAAAATGCCAGATGGCACTAGGGAATCAGCTTCATGCTATTCCAGAGCAATGTCATCCACACAGAGAGCCAGCAGCTAATTGACAAAGATACCCTCGCTGTTTTTATAGAAGTCAAGATGTCCTACTTCTATCACTAAACTGTCCTTTTAGAACTGGCTTGGGTCTCAAGCTCTCTTTGGAACTTTATTCTAGGTATGTTCTTGCCTCTTAAATTCTATCTTCAAATATAGCTCTGCTGTGCTTTCTCCTCAAATGGTTTCCTTCACTTCTCTAGCCTTCAGAAATCCATTCTCCTCTCCCTCAAAGTTGCTTTTAACATTCCTTGTCTGCACCAATACTTGGATAACTATCATCTGTTATTAGAAATGTCTTTTTAAAAAAATGTATCTACTTCTTATCTTCCTAACCATCTCATAAGTTCTTTCTAGACTACAACTAAATATTTTGTTTCTTTCTCTCCCCTTTAGGGCTTCCATGGTGGTTTTCCCTGTGGGTGTCTAATTAAGATTTGTTGATGAAGAGATCACTGTTCTGAGGTTTGCTGTCTCCAGATCAGAAAGTTCAGAAGAACAGTCCTGTAGGGTGTCACAAAATCAGGAAATAAATAGTAAAGTTTAGCCTCAAACAAGATATTGAAGGTACCTGAGAGAAGATTCTCCCAGAAAATTGTTTTAGTTACTCAATAATTCCCACAGAATGAGTCAGAAAGAAATGGCCAAGAAGTCCTTTTTCACATCTCATTCCAAAGTTAGCTGGTGAGTGCGGCCCAGTCCAGTGATTTCCAGTCCTCTGTCTGTGGATGGATTTGCTACAACAGAGTCACTTACGAAATACCTGATCCCTGCATCCACCCTTACGAATCACAATGGCACAGCAGCATGTGGAAATTAAGCAAGTGCCAGAGGTGACTCTGATAAGGTCCAGGGTAGTGGTTCTTAAAGTGTGGGCCCCACACCAGCAGCAGCAGCACCTGGAGCTGCTTAGAGACACGGCTCACGGGCCCCTAACCTACTAGTCAGGAACTCAGGAGTGGCCCAGCAAGGGCTTTATGCTCCAGATGGTTTTGAAGCATGGGAACATGTGAGAATCACCGTTCTAGGGGCTTCTTATGGTTACAATAACCAAATATTTCTAGGGAATCTTTTTGGGTAACAATTGGTCTGATTGTTTAAAAATATGTGACACTGCCGACGATTGGCCATTTGCTTATTTAACAGATTTTTACTGAGTGGTTCCTGTGTTGTAGGTATTATGCTAGGTGCTGGAAATAAAGAGATAAAAAAGACTGAATTTCTGCCTCTGGACTCTAAAGGGATATGCACATGTGAACAAATAGTTGTGATTCTGTATGTAGAGTGCTATGAAATATACGTGTAAAAGATTAATTCTGTGATAAGGGATGTGGCCCAAGGAAGACTTTTGAGCTCTGAACAAGTTCTGAACACTGAGGATCACACATAGAAATCAGAAGGGTACTGAAATATCCTCTGATGACTTTATGCTACTTGAGCGAATGTGAAGAATAAAACTTGGACCCTCTGAGCTGTCCAGTCCTCCTCGCCACGTGAAGACCCGTGGACTACTGCAAGAGGGGACTGAGGCTGCAGAGTGACTATTCACCCAGCGGAAGTGTGGCTGTGGCTGTCTCTCTCCACGTCAAGTAGGAATATAGCAAGAGCCCAGAAGAAGGAGGTCACATGAAAGCATGAGCCTTAGCATTAACTCTGCCCGCCACAGAAAGGGGGCACACTGATGCAGTGTTCTCACATTACACCTCTCGGGAGTGCTGAAAGGCAGGGGAAGAAGATTCAAAATGATGCTTCCCACATAATTCCCTCCTGGGAATGAAGTCCTTTCTCCTGATGGAAACACGTGGGACTAAGTAGTTAAGTGCCCTCCAACCAAAGCCAGGGGTTGGTAGGCAGATGAGCAGAAGCCAGAGAGCATTTCAGATGGAGGGCTAGCACATGCAAAGGCCTGGAGCCTAAAATAACAGGGAAAGCTTGTAGAAGGTTGGCATGGGATTTTGTTGTTTAATTTTTCAGTGTTGCCTTTCAGATAGGAAGTGAGGAGACTAAATTTATTTTAAACATTAGAAAGAGCATTTCATTAGTTTATAACAGTAAAAAAATGAAGATATACATGACCAATAATAGCATACTGATAAAGTAAATTATGGTAGAGCCATATAATGAAAGACAATGCAATCATATTATAAAGATTTATATTTATTTTACTTATATTTTATATTGTTTATTTATATCCATAAATTATTATTTATATTTTCTTTTCTTGTTGTATTGATACAATAACTAGAAAAACATACAAAAACATTCTCCACTGTAACAACGAGGATTTCTAAAAAGTGAAATTATTGCTTGAATTTTCTTTGCTTTGTGATTTTCCTTATTTTCCCAGTTTTAGGCAATGAGAATCTATTGCTTTTACAATTGGGAAAAAATAACAGTAGATGTTGCTAAGAGGCAGAGCTGCACACCTGCCCAGTGAATGAACACGGATGGTCTGTTCATCTTGCCGGTCTTACTGTCAGTGTGGATGGCGAGACAAACACAAAGGCCATCACTATGAGCAGTGACATGGGTACAGCAGTTCTGATTTGAGGAGGTTCATTTGCTGAATATACAACCACACTCAGTCTTTATTACTTGCCATTTTGTGTGTTTTCTGTAAATTTATTTTTCTTTAAATTAAGGAAATTGATTCAACTTGAAAATAAAATTCTAGGCAAAGTAGTTATACCAACTATTTCTAAACCTTTTATTGACTACCTAGGATTGTTAAAAATAACATATCTTCTTCTTAAAGATTCTTTGGTGAGAAAGTGGTTTGAACACCTTTTTAACCTCATTTTATAGATCTATTTGGTTTTATATAGTTCATGAAAGCAAGATAAATGTTTCTTTTCCTTTTTGTTTGCTGAAATGAATCTTAAAAGTGAAATCTCCACTAGCAAATCTCAAATAAATATTTTTCCCCTTCCATTTTGCCTTTGTTCACATGTTCTGAATTCATTTCTTTCTTCCCAGAAATTTGGGAGATGGCTGCAACTTCTGAAATGCTAAGTCTGCATTGGGTTCCCAGCAACCCTTAGTCTGACCACAGTCTGTCATGCACAGTTGTGCCCACCGAGGCAATGTTTTGAGAGTTGACAAGTAAACAAGATCTTATTAGCACTGTGGCTTATCGCTCATGACCAGTGTCACACAGGGTTTCCAGTCAGGATGGGGACGCCCAGCAGCTGGGTTCCAGCTGCTAATTCATCAATTTGAGAAGCGTCTGTTTCCGTCCAAGTCATTGCATGCGAGGCCCGGGGGCTGGTTCTGTGCCCACAGTGACTTCCTCCAGGGCTTCTTTTCCAAACTCCCCACACCCTCGTGATAAAAGAGCTGTCACTGTCATCGTAGTCTCAGGCACATCACACACCCAGCAGGGCAAAGCAGAAACCACATGGCGGGGGGGTTCCTGCAAGAGAATGGCAGGACCAGGGTGGGCACACAGGTCCGCTCCTTACAGCAGTTCTGCTACTGGGATTGGGCTGCGCGTGGACATGTCGTTTCACCCGTGTCTGCCTCACAGCCTCCTCTTGACGTGGAGCTGGTGAGGCTCCAGTGAATCCTAAGGCAAAGCGCTTAGACATGGGTCAGGACCACCCAAGTCCGGGCCTGAAAAAGGGACTACATGCAGAAGCAGGCAGGCAGCTAGACTGAAGCAAGCCCAGGGGGTGACAGCCACACAGAGCTGGGACATTTGCATGAAGCCGAATGAGGGCTGAGGGAAGGGCACCTGTGGAATGTGCCGTGCAAGTTCATTTCAGCTTCGTCTTCACCCTCTGAGGTACAGTCTCATTGCACAGATGCACCGACTGGTACTCGCCGAGCCTGAAGAACCCCAGGGAACAGAGCGACTCGGCACAACTGTTTATTTAGGTGTGTCTGATTCCAAAGCCATGCTATTCCTAGAGCATGGACGGGGTGTGTGTGTGTGTGTGTGTGTGTGTGTGTGTGTGTGTGTGTGTAGTCAGGTAAAGTGTTGCGTGCTCATCACAATGAATATTGGTAACTGCATCAGGGGTTTGAATGAAAAGGAGTTGAGTGGCAGCGCTGTTTATAGATGTGCTGACAGAGTTCAGGGGGTCAGAAGGGACAGTCTGGGCTCAGGCCCTCGCAGCAGCAGGGCACGGAGACAGGCCATCACGGAGGGAGGCAGGGACAGAGTGGGAAGGGGGACACACTGACCCCACCCCAATCTGACCTCTCTTCTTCTGTGTCCTCTCAGTGCCTCCCTTCCTAGCTAGAAACCAGGGCGAGGGGCCTGGCTGACGTGGTCCATCGAGGCAGATGGCAGCGAGCGATGGGGAAGGGAAATGGAGAATAACAGCACAATAGTCAACTATAAGTCTGGCTGAACCAGGTCAGAATTCAGGGGGATGAGGCCAATGATAGAATTCAGGAGCAGCAGAAGGAAGAGCAAACTGGACTTGGGGTCCACGGCTCTAGCTGCAGGGAGGAAGAGGCGTGCCGCGAGATGGAGCAGGGAACATCAGCAGGGCCTCACTGAGGGCACGAGGACACTGAGAAAAGGATTGAAGCACTCCTGGGCAGAGTGCTGGGGAGCAGAGCAGGGGACCGAGCACTCCCAGGTGCGAGTTTGTGCGGGGCCTGGTAGGAGAGACGTTTTATCTATCCTGCTGCCTTCCTGTGCAGCTCCAGCCTCTCTGGAATTAGAGTGGCCTCATTCTCAGTGGACCCCCTGGCTCCGCTGTGCAGATGGCCCTCCTGCTCTGTGACAGCAAAGGCAGAGGGGCTGTGAGCTGGGACTCCACCCTGGACAGACGGATGGCTCAAAGCCTAGAATTGCACCGACACCACTGCAAAGATCAGGCGTGGTGTAGTCCCAACAGGGCCTGCTTGAGGGCAGATGAGGGTAAAACAAACCTCCCTGGGTGATGGGTGCCAGTCTCGTCTCCTGCTGGGTGTAGCAACTCAGTGACTTCTGCTGCAATGAACAGCTTGGAAGCAGAGGGCTGGGTTTGCCTAGCGGGTGTGCCAGGCTCGGGCTGACGCTTCCATATTCTAAACTCCACGCTCGTTCCACATGGACTGCACTAGTGGCAAAACGGGAAACAGGAAGCAGGATGTGTTGCCTGGTCTTCACCTGAGACAGGACCACAGTGCAAGTGTAGTTGTACCTCCACGGTTTTACAAGGCAGAAGATTCTTCTAGATGTCTGATAGCCAACTGCATTTATTGAGCTCCTGCTGTATAGACTATGTGAAGAATTTCCATATGTGTAATAGTTCCCCAGGACTGCTGTAGCAAAGAACAACAGACTGGGGGCTTAAGATGACAGAAATTTAATCTGTCACAATTTGGGAGGCCAGAGTCCTGCATGAAGGTGGCAGCTCCCTCCAGGGCTCTAGGGCAGGAACCTTCACTGCCTTTCCCAGCTCCTGTGGGTCCTGAGGGTCCTTGCTGTGTGGCAGCATAACTCCAAACTCTGCCTCCAGCCTTATGGGGCTTCTTTGTATCCAAATCACCTCTCCTTTCTCTTGTAAGGACACCAGTTGTTGGATTTAGGGTCCACTTTAAATCCACTAGGATTTTACCTTGAGACTCTTAACTAATTACATCAGCAAAAACCCTATTTCTACATAAGGTCACCCTCTGAGATGCTGGGTGGACACATGATTTAAATCTGGCCCTGTTATTGGGAACATTAGTATGCATTATTTCCCCAAATAGTCCCTCCCTGTTCCCACTTTTCTTAGAAAGTTATGTGCAACTTTCTCTCTCCCTCTCTCATGTTTTCATTTACTTTGGAACAAGCTAAGTGCTCTCTTCACCTTCTCCATCTTTGCTAAATTGTTTTATTTCATCGTGGAATTTTCACCCTCTTGCTTGCACTTTGATAGTTACTGTAAATCTAAATGTACCTTTGTTTTTATGAAAAAGGAAATCTTCCTTAACGCTCAGCCTCCATGCTTGTATGCCCCCCAGGGCCTTCTCGGCGGCTCATTTTCCTCCAAGGTCTACAGACAGGTCACTGCTTCGTTAAATCGGAAAAGGAGGACCTTTTTCTTGAGTTCAAAATTGTTTCCATATGGGGGTCTATTGATTTCTGGTGTATTTCAGCAGCCTCGCCAGGACGGGAGGAGGGGTGTGCTCCTCAGGTGGGGCCTTTCCCTGCAAATGTCCCGCATTCCCTCCCAAGCAGACATCGCACTTGCCACTAGTTCCAGCCTCAAAACATACAGAACGTTAACAGCTCCCCTCAAAGCCCTAAAGTAAAAATATTAGAAGAATAGCAATTTGTGAAATTTAGAGTATTTCTGCCCATTTCCTCAGGCCATTTCTAGAGGTGACATTCTACAGCCCTCCTCAGATGGATGGCAAGCCTGATCCTGCTTTCTGATTGTTCCTGTTAGGTGAGAATAATGGCCATAACAGTGACTAAAATTTGCAGAGTGCTTTTGATATGCTAACCAAGGGCTGTAAGTAGGTTTTACTGATCACTTCCTATACCCACCCCACACACGGATGAGGAACTGCGTTGAGTTAGTGAGTTCATGCCTTTGCATCTTAATGATTTCTCCTGGTACTTGTTTCCACATGCCCTTGTTTTCCTCATGCCAGTCAGTGTTCCCGTGGGAAGCTGGCTCACTCAACCGCAGACCGTTCAAAGAGGGTTTATTTATACGAGGACCGTTCACCAGGCGTGGCAGAGTAGCAGAGGGCAGGGACCACAGGAATGGCGCAGATACTCAGGATTGCAGATACTCAGGATTACTAACATCAGAGCGGTGACCACCCCTAGACCGTAAGGACAGACTGGACGTGAGGGTTTGGGGAGGACAGGAGCAGTGACCTCCAGTTAGGGGCAGGCCAGCCTGAGGCGACCTTGAAAGGACAGAGATACCCTGACCTCACTCTCCCTTCACATAGCTATGGCAGACTTTCAGGTGGCTCGAGGTAGGGTGACCGACTCATTCTTGTTTGTGCTGGACTTTCTCAGCTTTAGCACTGAGCCTCAGGCCCCAGGAGCCCCCTTGGTCTCAGGGACACTGTAACAGAAAGGCCGTCTACACTAGCCCAGGGCTCTGGGCAGCAGGGGGCTGCCCTGGGCGCCAGCGCAGGCGCCGTGGCCTTGCGGAAGCCTGCCCACGCCCGC